GGGGAGGGGGATGGGAAATGGGATGGAGGAGGAGGAAGGAAAGAAGGAAGGAATTGAGGAAGAGGAGGAGGGGAATGAGGAAGAAGAAAAGGAGGAAGGAAGGCAGGAAAAGGAAGAGGAAGTGGAGGAGGAAAGACAGGAAAGGGAAGAGGAGGAGGAAGAAGTGGAGGAAAATGAGGAAGGACAGGCAGATGAGAAGGAAGAAAAGGAAGAGGAGGAGGAAGGGGAGGAGGAAGGGCACAGGAAAGAGGAAGAGGAAGAGGAAGAGGAAGAGGAAGGGTGGGAAAAGGCAGAGGGAGAGGAGGAAGAGGAGGAGGAAGGGAAGGAAAAAGAAGAAGAAAAGGAAGAGGAAGGAAAAGGGCATTGAAAGGAGGAGGAAGGCTGGGAAAAGGAGGAGGAAGTGAAGGAAGAAGAGCGGGAAAAGGAGGAGGAAGAGGAAGAGAGGAGGAGGAAGCAGAGAGGAAAAGAAGTGGGAAGAAGAGGAGGAAGGTTGGGAAAAGAAGGAAGACTTGGGGGAGGAAGAGCAGGAAAAGGAGGAAGAGGAAGAGGAGGAAGGGCAGGAAAAGGAGGAAGAGGAAGAGGAAGGGCAGGAAAAGGAGAAGGAAGTGAAGGAGGAAGGGCAGGAAAAGGAGAAGGAAGTGAAGGAGGAAGAGCAGGAAAAGGAGAAGGAAGTGAAGGAGGAAGGGCAGGAAAAGGAGAAGGAAGTGAAGGAGGAAGGGCAGGAAAAGGAGAAGGAAGTGAAGGAGGAAGGGCAGGAAAAGGAGAAGGAAGTGAAGGAGAAAGGGCAGGAAAAGGAGAAGGAAGTGAAGGAGGAAGGGCAGGAAAAGGAGAAGGAAGTGAAGGAGGAAGGGCAGGAAAAGGAGAAGGAAGTGAAAGAGGAAGGGCAGGAAAAGGAGAAGGAAGTGAAGGAGGAAGGGCAGGAAAAGGAGGAAGAGGAAGAGGAGGAAGGCTGGGAAAAGGGAACTCCCCCCCCTAAAAATTCTTCATCCACAGAGGAAGAAAGAAGAGGAGGAGGAAGAGGAGGAGGAAGAAGAAGAGGAAGAAGAGGAGGAAGAAGAGGAAGACGAAGAAGATGAGGAGGAAGAGGAGGAGGAAGAGGAAGAAGGAGAATCCTCCGAGGCCGAAGGGCAGGTGAAGGTCAAGGAGGAAGAGGAGATGGAGGAGGAGGAAGAGGAGGAAGGAAGAGAAGCTCAGGGTAGGGCTGGGGGAATT